AAAAAAAAAAAAAAAGCAAGAGCAGAAAAGACACTTCAACTCCATTTACTACATTTTGATCAAAAACTGCTTTATTCAGATTTACTACACATTATTTAGCTATATCAGCAAACTAATTATTCAGAAAATATATCTATTAAAGTTGAATGAGCTCAAAAGAGTTCTTTAGATAGTATCTCTGTATATTATCTCTTTGTGTACATACTTATATTTTCATTCATATTTTATGGTAGCTTCTTTGATACACTGTTCAAATATGCTTGACCACTTTTATTTTTATAAATTAGAGAAACTGCTTAAATTACTTTTTAAAGATAAGGGACTAGAAGCTTCTAGTTAATATCTACATTTCTAGAATATTGCCAACTGAAGAATTAAAATTTGGATTTAAATTGGATTCATAAAATTTCCCATCTTAAACATGTTTAGTCTCTGTTGCATTTAACAATTATACTTTTTCATAATTACAAACCATTTTTCATTTAAAGTAATAATCCTTAAGCATAGTATTATGTTGTTTTATGAAATATATTTCTGACTATAACATTTTTCTAGAGAATGATATAGTACCACACAATTTTCTGCTTTATTTTATTTTTGCTCTATTATTCTTCAGTCCTACTACTCAGAACAAGAACTTGTAGATCACCCAGTTTTCTGGAATAATCTTTCCCTAGAGGCAGATAGCGGACATATATTTTAATAACTTTAGAAGTAGTACAACAGTTGGGATATTCTCTACAATAGAAATGTATTAAAATTATTTAAAAATTCAGAAATGAACATATCTGTTAATTGTATAAGCAGTATTTTTTAAAATTAGTTTCCTGATTATGTTGTGTTTAATTTTACATGTACCATTGCATATACATTACTGTTTAAGTCTGTTCATCTGAACTTTTTCAAAATTTCACATATTGTGAATTTCTAATTAATGTGAACACTGTCGTACTATAAGTTGCTGAAAATAAAGACCTTCAATCACAATGCTGTAAGTAGAATTCATTTTTCCTAGATGTATAAATTTCTTGATTTTCTATCACTGTTACTTGTCTGCATGCAATGTTTTAACATAACTCCATAGCAGATACTGTGAAAAGGAAAATATAAATACCTAATACAATTTGACAACCTATGAGTAGGTATCATAGAGACTGCTAGAAACATATTTTGGCACATATTCTGAAAACAATGTAACCTTTTAGTGCTAGAAGTTTACTTTCAGTATAGGGTGTACAAAATTGTAGCCTAAGAAATTTATTATACAATTGTAGAGATCAGAATTCAACATCTTCTCCACAATTAAAATAGTCTATTTTGCAACTTCCTTGAATTGTTAGCCTAAATAAGCTGATGTGATGTGTACCTCAATGCATGAGGGAAAGTGGGTAGGTGAAAGTTCTTAAAAGCTGTAAAATAAGGTTAAATGTTAAGTGTGTTATTCTTGTGGGATGTTTTATAAGCCAATATATCAAATTATATTATATGCAATTACCCATCACAATATGATTAATTAGCTGTAATAATTGGCTGCTAACTGAATTATGTTGGCTGCTGTTTAGCACATTGTGGTGAAAACGGTCATTTTTTAAAAAATTATCACGAATTTCCTGATGGAACAATAAAGTTCTAAATGTCCATAGAGGCAATATTCTTGTTAGGTAAACAAGCCAAGATGTGTGTAGCCAATTAAACCCCAATTTGCATGACTAAAGGCTCTTTAGTGATTCATGCAACCACGTAAACTGAAACAACTGCAGCCAAAGGCACATTAACCATCACCCCTTTTGAAAACTAAATTCTTGATGAAAAATTCTTCAGATAAGGGAAGTTACAATCTAGCCTAACACAAATATTGGATCCCTCGTTCTTCTTTTTATATCCAGCAGAAATGTTTCATTTAAAACAAAGCTGAATCCAAAGGTTTCTACCTGGATTCACCATTCCAGCTGTTACCAAGTTGAAAGATTATGGAAGCGGATGGAATAGTTACAAAAAGGCCAGCAACAGAAAAATTAGTAAAAATTTCTAACCAAACAATTGCCAGCAAATCAACACCACAGGAGTTAAGAAATTGGAAAGTCAGTTGTAGTCAGAAAAAATGACCTTGATGGAAATATTAAAAATTAGCTATGCAAAGGGGCTGAAACTTTTCTTTAAGTCCAGAGAAAGGAGATAATATTCAGAAGTGGCTCAAGTAGATGCCTCCCTGATTCATCCTAATATTAAGGAGGAGATCACAATCAGAACTGCAGGTTTCTGTTATTACAGCCTATGTCAATAAAATATAGTTCTAGTCTTCTTATGGAGAGGATTTCTAGAACTGGTCTACCTGGGAGACGCTGACATCACTCCACATATCAACATCCCCCCCCCAAAAAAAGGAGCCATAAACAGAGGTTACAAATACAATATCCTCAATCCCACAAGCTAGCAAAATAAGGGCCACCCAAGATTAATTCGACGAAACTGGAAAGGAAGAGGGGCCAGATGTTCAACCTGATGTTAGAAAAGGCATGATTGCAATGGGGAAAGCCAAAGAATATCCCAATTAAGTCCCTGCGAGCTTTGCCCGTTCATACAGAGGCCTCTGATTGTACTGATCACCTTAAACCAGTGTTTCTCAACCTTGACCATTTTAAGGCACGTGGACTTCAACTCCCAGAATTCCACAGCCAGCAATGCTGGCTGTGGAATTCTGGGAGTTGAAGTCCACGTGCCTTAAAATGGTCAAGGTTGAGAAACACTGCCTTAAACTATGGAAAGTGTTCGGGTAAAATGGAAATTTGCCCTCCTGGAAACCTGTCTACTGGTCAGAAAGCCCTAGTACTGACAGAAGATGGGAAAAACCGACTGGCACACCAGATTGGCAAAGAGCGAGACCCAGGCTGGACTCTCCCCCTCTTTATATACTCATTTTTGTACTCTTATGTTCTCCCTCTCCAAACTCACCCTCCGGGCTTTCCGACTGGCGGGTAGATCCCGGGCGGCCGCTCCAGGGGATCGACGGTCCACCGAGCGTTTCCTCCTCCTCCGAGACGAAGTCGGGGTGCGCAAACTGAGAAATTCCGAACTCGACTCCATCGGTTCGTAGAGCGACTGCGGGGATGCCGAAGCGGTCTCGCCTCCGCCAAGAGGATCGGGGCGGCCAGAGCCACCCGAGCCGCTGCGGAGCACCACCATAGCGGCCGCCTCCCCTCAACTGCCTCTGAATTCTGGCGCCACAACCCCGAGCGCCATCTCGTCACCAACCGTCCCCGGATCCCTCCGCCGTTCTGGCCTTTTTTTTTTTTTCTCCTTGCGGGGCTAATTTTCAGCCAAGCCGCTGCTAAGTGACCCGTCCCGATTCAGAGACCTGGGACGACACGGCTGACGAGGTTGCGCTCGGCTGGATTACTTCTCTCTGGGTGCTATTTCGGCTCCCCCCCCCATTAAATAGATCCATTGCCGCGGAAGGACACAACGCGCGTCCTACTCCTAAAGTTTTTGGCGCGTGGCGACTTGGAGTGCGGCTTGTTTTCCTTCGTTCTGATTGGTCGGCGCTGTGGCGCGCGGCGGTTTTGCTGCTCCTGCCCGGGAGGCGCTCAATTGGAAAACATTTAAAAGTTGCACGACTCTCTGGGAAAGGCGCATTTTCTTATACCAGCACAACTAGCCACTTTATACTTGGGAACTCACAAATATCCGCACAATAGGAATACATATAAAGTTGCACTTGTATGTGATGTATATTCCCAACTGCAAGACAAAAAAAATGCCACTATTCTGGTGGAACTGGCAATTGCATAGAACAACCTTAGGCAAACCGGATTAAAGCTTGTAAGGAAACTGGATTCCTGCCAGCTGGGCTAATCGAAATATATCAATTACCAGAAGAAGCCTATATGCGCTCTTTTTGCGATATAAAAAGCGATTCCACGGAAAGGGATCAGCAACGGTGCCTTTGTAAAGTGCGGTACTTGGCAATATGCATTTTGAACTAAGCACGCAAAGAATTTAAGCGGTTTTGCTCGGCATTACCAAAATGGCCCTCTTTGGAAGAAAAAGAATCGCATTTCCCATGTAACTTTGCTTCTGCTATTCGGGGAACAGAAGGGAGAGAGAAGGCAATCCTTTACTGCAAACGAAAGATGCCAAGACAGCTTCCATCTGAAGAGAAAAAAAAAGTTCTGGCTTCGGTCACAGCCAATTAAAAAATCCGCTGCAAAAATAAAATTACTCCCTTAGTCCTCCTTTTTGTCTCCTTTAAAGATACTCCCCTGTGACGCTTTCCCGTGAATAATCCCCACCATTTTACCTGCATTTTTTTTAACAATTGTACCGAGAATGTAATCAGCTGGCGGATCAACTCTTTTGTATAAAGGAGGCCTTTTTCTTTTCACAGTCCGTTCCTTCCCTATTGGCCTGCGAAAAGTCAAAATAATTTTGCGCCTTGGCAACACATCGGAATGGCACACAGCACTGAATTGCACTAAGGTGGCCGATCAGAGTTAATTTTATGTTCAAAAAGAAACCAGCTTCCCCCCCCCAAAAAAAATCTGCAACAGCTTTATAGCCCCACCATGAGATCCCTTGATCGCTGAGATTACTACGCCTCCTTATAGCTCCCACGGAGCCACGCAGAGCTTGCATCCAGGGTCTCGCACAACGTATGGAAGCAGGGTACTAACGCGGAGTAGGCCCTGACATATGTCCCTTTAAGCAAAGCGGTATTCCCTTAATTTTATTCCCTAACCAAGCAGTCCTCCCACAGCAGTTAAAAATGAAAATGTTTCCTTACTGAAGAGGCTTTGGGGGACTCAGGAACGTCGATTCCCAAATGAAAGATTTTTCTTAATCCGATCAGAAAGCTGACTCTTCTCTACAACCCGACAAAGAGACTCATTTTCTTTCAGACAACAGGCGGGACTTTGCTAATCCCTTTACCTTCCTGCCGGGAAAGGCTTCACCTGTTTGACTTCTAGTACCCAGCTGCTGTTAAAGGCGCAGAAGCAACGCCCTGCAGAAGTACTTGAAAGGTGGAATTACGTGTCTTATTTACATGATGCACTAATAGTAACAACAGCAAATATTTGTTTGGGTTGTATTTGTTGGGTTGTATTTTACACATTTGTTTTTATGTCCCCCTGAAAATTAAAACCTCTTTCTCTTCCATTTGGTTTTCCAAGGTGATGATGAATTAAATTATGTCGTCCATCTTTAAACAACCGTGGACTGCTAACAATCAATTATAATAAAATCTATAACAGGTAAAAGCTGGCAAGCATGAAAAAGCTTTTCTATCTTTCCCAGCGCTAGAGCCGTTTCCAGAGGGCAGGATCTTCGCACAATGTAACCCAAGATAGATAATTGGAGCCTGGTCATTTGTGCCTCCGGGGAGAACTTTGGTTGAATTGTTCAACGATCCATTGGTTTGTTTTCTCGACTGTCCACGACATGCTATTCAGGAGTATTTGAGGCTTTACTCCTAGGCAAGTGTAAAATAAACGTCTCCGACTTAGCACCCTTTATTTATCCGAGAGACAACTTCCAGACTTTCCCAATAGCCAAAGACCATTGATTGGAAATTGTAATCCCAATACACTTAGAAGGAAATTGATTTAGAGGTCTGATATTTATGGTTATAACTTTAGCACGGACACTCCTGGAGAGACATAACGATGTAAACAGGCCTGTCTTTACCTGAAGTGTAGTGAGCACTTAAAGCAATGTTGCGGTAAAACGGGTGAGAAGGGGAAGGAGAGACCAAGCTCCACAACTGACACCAACCCGAAAGCTATAAAGTATTTTGGGTGTTCATTTGCGCTAGTAAAAGATTCGGCGTCGCATTTAGGTGCGAACTGCAGAGACTCGTATTCTAAGCGCGCAACACACACACCGGTGTTGCGACAATCTTGCTTAACCTCTTCGTCTCCTTTTGGCTCGGTTTCCCTTTGGTTGGGTCGAGCAGCCTTCCAAGGCAGCCGCGTTTCCGGGGGAAGGCGTTCCTTGTAACGCGTCCCCCCAGGACGTTCGGAACAGCACGCGTGGAGCGATGCTTCTTCAACCGCCCTCCGTTGCCGGAGACGAGCGGCTTCTTGTTCAGGCTTTCTTCGGGAAATGAATCCCTTAATCCTTTCCCTTGGCCAGCCAACAGCGGGCTTCAATGGCGGAGGTGGAGGCTGCTCAGGCTGGCTACCAACCGGTCGTCCCTTCTCGCTCCGTTTGCGTTTATACAAGCTGCTATTGGTAAGAAAGCGGAAGGGAGGACGGAAGGTATCATAAAACTTAGCGATCGCAGTTATCGTTCCAGAAAGTCTTAGTAGGGCAGCTGGTGCCACTAGATCAGAAGTTTCCCCAGCCCTCAAAACAACCCGGAAGCATTTTTTGAGAAAGTTTGATTTACTATGTGCTCACAAATTGATGCAGGACCAGCTTAGATTAATATAATATAATACAGTTAATAATGGTAATGTAAAACAAGGAATGTCTATGGCAGACATGTCAAACACAAGGCCCCGGGGCTGGATGCGGCCCACAAAGTGGTTTTATGTGGCCTGCGAGGTCATCCTGGAAACAGGGAACGGGCCCCGCTCCCTTGGCCCTGGCCCAGGCCGGCCGGGAGGGAGCCAATGTACAATTTTGTGGTGGCCATCTATGCTGAAATGCATTCAGTCTTAGCTCCACGAGGCCGTCTGGAAACAGCAAGGGACCAGCCCCTGCCGCGTCGGCCCCACCCCCTGGGTGCATGCTGGGGAGGTGTCACCCTTTGTGAGGAATGAAGAAATGCACCATTGCCTGGAAGTGGCCAGCAAATGGCCCTCGCCTACTTCAATATCCGGCTTGATGGGCTCTGCCCTGGTCCCACCCCTTTCTGCCAGAGACCCTCAGATCTGTCCCACTCCTGCCCAGGCCCCCACAGGCACCCTTGACGCAAATGATGTAGAGCTGGCCATGCCCACCCAGTAGGCCATGCCCACCCCATCCACGCCCACCCAGTAGGCTGCATCCATCCTGGCCACACCCACCCAGCCCCCTGAGGGCAACTGCAATGCTGATGCGGCCCTCAATGAAATTGAGTTTGACACCCCTGGTCTATGGGGATTCTCAATCATCCAGGTCATGGTTATCCCAAAGGAGGCAACTGGACTTTGTTTTTCTTTAGGACAACCATGACCTGGATCACTGAGAATCTCCATAGACATTTAGCTATGCACTTTGGGATGAACATCCTTCAAATGGTGCAGGAGTATGAACAGATTTCCAGAAAACATTGCAGACTACAGGAATCATTTGTGCTTCAGTTTGAGATGCAGACAACACAGACTCATCCCCAACAGCCTGTGCCTGTCTTCAATAGTGAAGGGACACAGGGCAGAAAACATCCTGCAGCCAAAAAGGCTCCACACACATTTGCACTATTCAGGTGACTCAGGACCCAGAAAAACCTTCAAATGGCCTCAATGACTCTCTAAAAGAATGCAAATGACCAGCTGTCTGCAAGGAATATAAATCCTTCCATTCCCCACCATTCAGTCAGAGCTAAAAAAGCTTAGATGAGAAGAGAAATGTCTTCAAAGAAAAACTTTGGGTAAAAGAAGGAACTTATTTAATCAACTTGATGTTACACCTTCAAAGCTATCCTTTGCTTTTGCTCCATTCATGATTGAAATCCTGTTTGTTTTTCTTATTGGGAATTTCATTTTTGGTATCTCTGGTAAAAAAAATAATAAGTAGATGTATACAAAATGTATACATACCCTGGCAGAATTAAACCCTGATTCAAAGTCATTTATATCCAACTATACAATAGTGGAGAAGAGAAAATGAATTGAATAGAAGGTGGGAATGGAGAATAACCTTGAAAAGGTTTAATATCAGGAAGCATATTCAAAATTAAGATTTTAGTAGCAGAAGGCATCTTGAAAATGTATGAACTGGTGTTTTTATTTCTCTACAGTGAAGAAAATATCTGGAAGCTCTGTGAATATATCCGAAGCAAGAATCAATACCCTTTAGAAGAATTTTATGCTGTTTTCATTTCCAATGACAGAAAAATGGTGAGTTGGGATGTGGACGTTATATCTGTATTTGATTAAAAAAAAACCATGCTGACTCATAGTTCAAATTAACACTGCAGTAATGATTAGTATAATTGGATGTGTATGAATAGAATACTCATTGGGACTTATCATTAGGTAAGTCTTTCTCTTTCCTCTTTCTCTTCTC